AGATATAGCATATAGCTCATATAGTAAGAACAGTTCCAAGTCGAATTATGCAGCCTTGTCTGCGTAGACATAAACAATGATTTATCGGCCTTATATAGACACGAATTATACATGTTCTACTTGACGTGCGTGGAAAGCGCTGGCCAATTGAAACTAATTGAATGCAGATTGCGGTAGGAACAACATAAATATTAATAAAGGCAAGTAGATTAGTGGATCAACAGTGCTGAGAGGGGCAAAGTAGACACTAGCGTATTTTAATAGAAGGAAAAAAGCAGATTTGCGTTACAGTTGTTCATACAGGAAGTTCATACTTTAGTGCACAGAAGGCGCAAGCACCTACCTCATTATTCTTGCCATACCTTTCCTATGGTAAACAGATGATGATATCAAGAAATATGTGGTAATCTTACAGATTTACGTATAGAACTGCCAGACTATTATGCAATCGTCACATCAACCACTTTAGTTGTATAACCATTTCGTTTCTGCGACATACACGGCCTTAATTGTTCTATTCCTCCATTAGCCTCTGACAACAGGTAAATGATTTAGAAGTTTTCTTACTTGTACACTAACGTACAGTGCTTGAATAGGATCGTTTTACGATATATATTTCTTATTAGCGGTATCGCAGACCTTTACAGAATTGCCTGTTTGCGCGGTATACACAATCTAACAGTTAATACGAACACACTATACCTGCATAAATTTGATAAAACAATCTTAATGCATCGGTAGTATGCTTTATTTCAATATAAATTGTCTCATTATTTATCGGTAAGTGAAGAATATTAGAAAATCAAGTCTTTCGAAGAGTATATTTTTAACTCAGTATGAGAATAATGTACGTGCTATTAGTAGCTAATAGTTATATTGAGACTAGTACGTTTGTCCTACAGAAAGTATTTAGCAATATATCTGTTTGAGCTATCACTATGTCGCATTAAAACGTGCATATATATATATATATATATACAAATAAGTACAATTCATTTAATAGAAAGTATATGTCAGAGCAGGAAAGTCGAGAAGCTTCGCGTCGGTGAAACCGTTTGTGTAGTTCATTTATATTTCAGCAGTATTTTTATCGTAGCAATAATAACGAACATTTAAAATAATTAACAACGTTAATATTTTCGTCTTGTCTAGTCGTCGCTTATGCATTTCTCACCTGTACAAACAGAAAAAACAGTACTGATTAAGGAAATAAAGAAAAAAAAAGCCAAATTATAATGATCAGCATAACGCAACTGTTAGCATCACCGCGAAGAATGTAAACAGCAGTTGGACGATTTCACCGTAGTCAAAACAAGAGGTGAAAAAATACATGACGCTGACAAAGTCCAACTTCCGCAACATTACACAACTGCGATACGCCGCCCTACGGTAAAGTAGTCAAATGTGCCCTTTTGGACTTCGTCTTAAACTACCAACTCGGCTCTATAAGTGAGACTTTTTCGGCTCTGTCAGCTTTGCTGGATGGCCGAAGGATTATTTTTAACTGCACGTAAAGGTAAGAACGGAAAACTGATATTTGTTTGTTATGATGAATTGCAAGATGTAGTGATTAGGGACGGCGAACAGCGTACCCATCAAACTAAGCGTGATTAGACAGACAGCATTTCTACTCTGTCTTTGTTGATCGAACGTCAAATACTAGATAAACAAAAGCTGGCAAATAGAATTTTAATGAAGGGATCACAGAGTAAAAATGGAATTCCTTTCAATAATACGCTAGCCAGTTGTAGCCAGGTGTATATTCATTTCATTACTATACACTGAGCGTTAGTAGACAAAGCTAATCGGCTTTAGCATCTATTGCGTGAAATGAGAATAAAAAAAATGAGTGAAGGCGGGAGCTATTTTATCTCAGCGAAAATACATCTCTTTAGTAAGCTCTCGTTGTGATACATGTGAGCCTAAAGCGCCCACAAAACAAAACTAAATGTTTAAGTCAAAAAAAAACCCATCACTAAATCATTCTTCCCAGTATCCTAATCATTCTTCGCTTTGGTTGCTTGCTCGTTAGTTCTATACCCTTCCTCTCTATTAGAGTTTCGCGGGCAGATCAACAGCGCGATATTTCGCCAAGTACTCTAAAATGAATCAAGTATATATTTACGTTAGCGGCAAAACCAACAAGTCCAGTTGTTAGTAATGAAAGAGAAAGAGGTAAAAAGTGTAGATGTTTCGTTTGAATAATAAACAGCTTCACGGTGCAACTGACCCACAACAATCGCCATCAGCATCACTGGATTACATGACCTAGTGACCATAAAGGGGCACCAAACGGACGCTGGACATGTTGCCTAATACTCACGCACGTTCCATCGCCTCAACGACATTTATCTATATCGTGTCCGTATAAATTCTATGAATTAAAAGAATATCCAGCCAGCCTGCACAAGTTAAGATGCGAAGAAACTTTGTGTCTCTGTATCTGTTGCATGTTGTTCTTCGTTAATTGTTTCGTTTATGCTGCTGTTATTCAGGATTCAATTCAGCAACATTGAATCTTTTCGCGTGTGTTAAATAGGTCAAAATAGTCTAAAATAGAGTTCGGCTTCAGCTAGATTGGCTGATACCACGAAATTTACCATAGTCTTTCAATAGACTTTTCAATAGATGCTTTTTCAATAAAGCATGAAAGTGCGGCCTTAGATAATTTGTTCAAAAAGTATTCTTATAATTGTAGATTTAACTTCTATATATGCGTTTTCCTGTTTATTGCCACCGACCAATGGTCTTTCTCGTAAATAGGTACCTTACGAATGACGTGTTTTGTTGCAGATATATTAGTTTCTTAACAAAGCTGAAATAAACTCTCACCCGTTAACTGGACAGTTCGATATTTGCAGTAAGTGTGCTTAACAAACAAGGGTAAGCAACATCGAAGATAATAAATGTGTGTTTGTCGAAGCGACATCAAAATGTGGGAAAAGAACAAAGTCTAACTTTCTGTTGTCTCTCTTACAGATTGTATTGTAGAAAAAATCCGTTGAAATCTTGTTCTCGACTATCAAGCCCTGTCATGTACGTTTTCTGTTGGGTTATAATCAAGGTTACGCCCAGAATTGAATGGTTTCTGGCTCTGTATTTTTGCATATTGTTGAAATAAAAATGAACGAACGCAGATGATATTTACCCCTTAGTAACGCCAGTGTTTGAAACGGTAGTATTTGAAACGGGCAACAAAAGGTTAGTAATTGCAGCCATCTTCACCGGTACTCGCTGTCATTTTTCAGAGAACGCATACGAATATCTTTCCAGGTCATCAAAGCTTAACTTAGCCATTCGGCACTCGTGTCGTTTCTTACTTTCGAAAGATTCGAACGCACACGCCCATATTAGGTACTTCCTTTTGCAGCTACAATAACAGACGGGCAGACAGATAGACCAAGTCGTATCGGAAGCACCTTCTTCACGCTGATCATCATTTCGACTTCAACACCATTCGGGAGTACTCAGTCTCTTTTCATGTATCTCGCGGTGGACAAATGCCGATGGACATTTACAATAGAAAATATTTTTGCTACTGTTGCACCACGGGAAATAAACTACCACTTTAAAATAGAAAATATCGTTCCTCAGTTCACATTTGAATATGTGCCATAACAAAAGAAGATAACTTATGATGCACTGCACAACGATAGAAGGTAAAACTCAACGTGTGACCCACATATATATCACGTTCTGCGTTAATGTTTCCAACGCCATTGATGCTAGCTCCAACTTATGTCAATGTTTTTAGCAAATGTAATAACATACGCTAAAAATTAATCAGAAGCTTCGCTATCTGACTGTCCAAGTTCTGAGCGGAACTTCGTCTGCTAACTTGTCGTGGAAGTTAGTTGTTATTATTACCAACAGACTGTTTTCGAGAGCAATCGTATTTTTGGGTACACGTAAGTAATAGGGGGGCATTATACGCATAGAATGTAATGTTTTGTGTTAACATAACGCAGATCATCAAACCAATATAAATAACCGTTCTTTCTTTTCGCTAGGGTAGAAGTTTAGATGATGGCAGCTCAGCTAAAATGATATAATCATTGATAAAGCACTGTTTGTTTCTTTACTGGCCAAAAACCATCAAAGGCGTCGCCAAAATCACTAAACAAAATTGAATATTCAGCCCAAGTGGTAACTGTAAGCCCATAATTTAGACTTACTATAGATGAACAACGGCGGCTCCGAACAGTTAATGAAGCAGGGGGCGCGGTTCAGCTGCAGTCGGCTTTGAACATAGTGGCTCATAGTTCGCAAAACCTTATAATGCATCCGATGGCTCACTGGAGTGTCCCAGACTAGTACACTATATTTTCAAAGAGGCTGCTACTTAAGAGTGAACTTCTGAAATCCTTTCACGTGTTCATTGTCGTCGTCGTCCGCATTAAAGCACGACCGTCCGCTCAGACACGACATATGTATCTGACTTAGATAAAAAAAAAAGTAATCAAAACTATGCCTGATCAGCAGCGATGTCCTGTGCGGGTGCCATCGGAAAATCTATCGGCGAAGAATTCGCCTCACACGCTCAATTATTTAAATTTTCGTGGCGAGTGCGGCACTTTCCCACCAGGACAATCGAATATACGGCTGACGTTAAATGTTCTATATGTACGAAAAGATTGTTGCCTCCATAACACTGTGTGATCCTTTCGCCGTAATGTGCTCCCGTCGTTAACAACAGCGACTCACAGGCACAGGCATACATATGCACATAAACAGCCTTCGGTTGTTTGTCCGGTGTTCGTTTCAGTAATCTATCCAATGCTAAAGCGATGCATAGAACTATGCTAGCATCGGTAATAGCCATTTTGTACTGGGTTGTCTGTTGTGACAGTGTAGCAACAACGGCACCTGTAATAGTAGCAGCGTATATAGATCTATCCGCCTATCGGCTCGGGTTGGCTTGATCATTCATTTTATTCAGACAAAGTTTTGGTGCGTGTACATATATCCGTGTATGTGTGTATTTGGTAAAGGAAGCTTACCTGTTGTTGGACGACGACTCTCTTGTTGTGTGCGTGGGCTCGTTCGAGCCCGCCGTAGCCATCGGGCCCACGTCGCTCGACATCCCGGCGTGCTTTGACTTCTGCCGCTGTCTGAATGCCTTTAGCCGGCCGCTGTGGCCAACGCTATTACGTCCGTTCGCTTGTTTTTCACTTGCTGTAGTTGTTGATTGCTTATATCTTCTGCTGCTGTTGGTGTTACAGTGTCCCGTCCGTCTGCTGGAGGCGATGGCTAGCCAAATCCGATCAAAGATTTCTCTCTCAATCTCAATGACTCTATCGCTAAACAGATCCGGCTTGATGCCCACAGGTCAAAGCGAATAGAAAACGTTCAGCTGCGACACTCTCCTTGACCGAAAACGGCGATTACAACTACTATTGCAAGTAGTAGTATTACTGCCTCTTTATCACGTCCAGCTGAAAAACACTCTTTCGGACCGCGTAAGGATCTATAATTGAACAAAATCAAACTTAATTCCGAAAGGGCTGGCTTCACCGCCGTTCCTCGATCGCTAGGTTATTTGTAATAGTGCTTCGCTCCCACTTCTGATCGCGAATCGGCTCTGACAGCGGTAGCGTTAGCAGCGATCTCCACCCACACAGGAGGGCCAGTAGACTAGTAAATCGTGGTCACAGGCTGCCGAACTGATCTATCTCCGCTGGGACATTGTTAGCTGGCTCGTTCGCTTGGCCTCATAATAGGCAACACCAGCTACTTTGCATTTGTTCATTGACGAAAAGGAGAACCACAAATAACAAGCACGGAAGCACCGTTTGTCTTATAGCCACTTACTGCACGTCGAAATAATAGACAAGTTTGATTACGCCATCAACGCAACGAAGATTGTAAACTCGCTATCCGCATTACACACACGTTGCACGCAGCGATCGATTAAAGCGTAACTCTTCAGCCAGTCGGCTTGAGTAGCGCCCTGTACGCGCACACGTTCACAGAATCGTGGACGTGGGTTAGCTGTAGTTTTATAGTGGTAACGTACGTTTTCCACTCGTGGCGCGTCATGAGGCATCAACACTGCTAATTGTTATGCGGTCGATAGCTAGCGGGTCTTGACAGGGAATAGCGGTAAGTGATTAAGACGAGTGAGTGTCGTCTCCGCTGGTGAGCGCTTCCTTTCTGTCGCGCGTCCTCTTGGCGATAACAGCGAAAAAAGTAGAAACGTAGACCATTTCGATACACGATAAAGTACAGTTCGCAACGAAAGAACACAACTGCTTTTCTGCCGACCCGCTACTGGTAATGTTACTGTTGTTACCGAGTTTGCAACCAGCTGGACTACTATAGCGACTAATAACGACCTGTGTCTGTTCCGCGTGACCCGCAATTATTATTACATTAGTTCATATTACATCGCTTAACAACGTCGGCTTGCTGTTGAGTCTGTTGAAGTTTGCCTGCCTACTTTTACTACGGCGCTGTCGGATATGCTACAATGATCAGCGTGAGCATATCTGGCGACAATAGCAACGGCGCGTCATTGCAATAGAACAGCACAAAAAACCCCGCTGTCATAGCGCAGCTTCTATTCGCTAACCGGACTGGCGTTGATAAGAAGTACCGCTACCTCACCATGTCCTACCACACTGTACCCAGCGCACGCATAGCCACCAGCAGTATGCAATGCGGTGGCTAGTTTTACTAATGAATGGTAGCATTAGCTAAGGCTGCAGCTTCTATTAAAGCTGTCAGGCTATGCAATACTCGCTCGATTCCACTGGGGTGTTGGCCGGCGACGGCCTTCTTTCCTCCCCATTGGGTGTGTTGACGTCTCTTGCCTATGCAGCACCATCATTCGTTCGGCGGTCCACTGGGAGGTCTTTAGTGGATCAGACGTGCGGCGATTTGACGTTTGACATTGAAGGAACAAAAACCTGCTTAGAAATGTAGCTATTTCAGTTACGTAAATATTCATGTACTATCGAAGTTGTGCTCGACAAAATGTTGCTTGGTTACAAGCAATTACTTGGTATCATTGTGCTGCCCGATATATGTGAAGAAAAGGCATGTGTTGCCTACTAGCTGGGATTTGTTGCAGAAAAGGAGGAGACAAATACATGCAGACAGATACAAGAACAAATAAACTTGGGAATCAAGTCGTAAATTACTACCCCACAGACATACATTACTAGCCTAGAAATCTGGAGTTCCATTTTTTGAAGACGGCAAATTAGTGTGCTATAACTATCCCGTTGAAGTGAAAAAGAAAAACAGTCCCAACCAAAATGACATTAGTTAATTGGCTTAGTTCTTCCGTTTTGTATTTTCAGGAATACCGTAGCAATCAATTGTACTCGAAGATTCATAGTAAATTTAGCTTCATAAGCGTGGCTTTTAGCTTTTGAAGACATTTGAAGACAAACAGGCCCGAAAAATAGAACGTGTATCGAGAAGAAATGCTCTTATTCAGCAACTGAAAGTACAAACAGTTAAAAGTTCGCATATCTGTTATCCTATTTCGAGCCTAAATAGCTACGGTATGATATAGGATCAGTAATACAAGACCTAACTAACACTAGCACATCTCAAAAATGACGACGACCTGCAACTATATTCAGCTTCTGATTCGACCTTTGAAGCTTTCTGACTGATGTAGAACATAATGGCAAGCAAACCGCACAACCGGTACACCGATCAGCTTCACCAGTAAGTGCGACCTAGGGGGGAAGGTTATATATAACCTTTGGGAATTATGTATTCGAGCTTGTCGTTGTAAAGCCCTACAGTACCCGAGAGTAGCGGCGGTAGCATTAGTAGTCATTTACCATGTGCGCCCCACGACTTTTGATTTCATAAAATTGCTTAGTTTAAAAGGCTTTCTCAGTATCAGCTCAGTTATGCACAGCACAAAATGAGTTAGTATTTTTACAAGCTGAAAAAAAAAACAGTAAAAGCCAATGTTAGTTCAACAGTTATGATCAGTGACAGAAATAAAGTGCATAACTATTGCTGACTAACTGCGGAATATGTGGCCAGCTTTGTAAATTGTGGATACTGTAAACGATAGGAATAAGTAGGCTATCAAACGAAAAAGTTGTATATAGTTAAGGACTCACCGAATTGTCACAAGACGTAACAACTCGGAACATTGGCTGCTCACAAAGTGTTTCAAATGAACTTGAATGACCACATATATCTTTCATAATATTTAACATTTTCAGTTCGAAAACCTATCGTCATCTCTACATACCATCATGTACACTCGCTATATGTACACTTTAGAAGTAGAGGATTTGTCCTATGTTATGTTGTTAAACTCAAGTGGGAAATCTTTTATTTTCTATATTTTCTAAATATATCGAATATACAAGCAGCTTATCGATTCTGGCATTTCCTAAAACCCCAAGTAGATTCGAAATTCAACTGCTATGTTTGAACTGTTTGTGACATACGATTGCAAATGGCGGCATATTCAATACTAATCCGATCAGTTCTGTAAATTGAATTTCATTCGAAGTGAAATGAGGAAAACTCGTTCGCTACAACCGTATTTAAATTATCCATTTATGAAGTGGTTACTTCGCACGTTGTTTTCATATCAGTTGACTAGAAACGTATAACGATACTCCTCATGATTCTTTTCACCTTATTTTCCCTGTAGAAAAACCTAGTAAATCTCCTCGAAAATCTCTTTGGAAACAGATCTACCACGATTACATACAGTGTTTTTTTTTTTAGTTCGATAACCAGGATATCCCTGGTTTCATTTCTCACTATTATGACGATCTGTTCATTCTTCGCATACAACGGCGCTGTTCTTTAAAGGTTCAACGAAAACTCCTGGATCCGAAATTTTAATCGATACACGTTATTTCGGTCAACTAGTGTTCGGGGTGACTAGTATTAGCAAATCTCTGACAGTTAATGTTGCTCTTGTCTCCGGCATCCGCTACGCGCTTCAAGGAGAAAGTTGCTCAAGGTCGTCATGCCTTATGACATCAGGATTTTACTGAGCTCAGGCAAGGAGGCTATGAAATGAACGGTAGGTTGTTTCGATTGGCGATTCTAAAGCGCGTTCCTAAAGTTTTCGGAGAAAATTAGGTAAATTTGGAGTCCCAGATCAGCGCCCTGATACCGCAGTAACGTGTGTTGGAGCAAGCCCTGCGCACGTGTCTCTTGTGGCCTCAAAGTGTTTAACAAAGAGGTACTACAACAAGAGCATAGTAAAGGATGCTGTAGAAAGAAGGAATATGATCACACCCATTATAGCTTTTTCTTACCTTGAATATAAACCCGAATCCGATTAACAAAGAAAATAGTTTTTTAAAAGTCATTAAACTGCTCTTTATTAGATTACTGTTTTTCTGTTGCCTAGCTTTTTGTGTTGAACGTGTTCAACTGCTTAATCCGAAACTATGCTACAGCGAATGGTGTGTCCTACACAAAAAACCTTGTTAATCCGAATGCTATGTTTTTTTTTTTATAACAGTTATATTCATTCCATCGCCCATAATAATTGAACTTACATAATGGCTTCTTGAGTATACTAAATGCGCACTAGCGCATGTCCCAAAGTGCGGCAACTTGGTTTAGTGAGTTGTTAACCTGGGTTGTTTAATTGACCCGAAATCAAAATTAGTTCAAAAATTAATTGCGCAGCGCGATCCTCCCGCTGCCGTGTCAGTCGTCCGAGTTCTGATTTCACACATACCGATAACTATAGCTAACTTCTCTCAAAAGGCGTTCCTTGTTTTTTTTTTTAATTTTTCATTTAAATCTTTTGAGTAGAACCACTTTGCCTAAACTAATGCGAAGACATATTGCGTATTTTTAAGATATCTTCGTTTATCAAATATATGTATGATGATAATACACCTGTGTGACGTACTTAACGAAGTCGAAATATTTTAGAAACGTTTTATCAAGTAGGCATATGATGGGTGGAGCTAATTTCATACGATATAAGAAAGCTACTTTGGCGAGCTGGAGCTAGCAGATATCAAATAAATATCCCATAAATGTTAGAACTAACTGTCTAAGTTACTGCTGTATCACTTTTAAAATGCGCGTTAACAATAAAGTCACAAATGGAATTTTCCCTTAAGTACGTAGCGCTTGATCCCGACCTTCAGAAAGCAAAGCTTTGCTCTGTTAAAAATAAAGGCATAAACCTGAAATCCGTATCAGTATGTATAATGTAAGCCTTCAGAAAAATGGCCTTTCGGGAAACTCAATAAAAGCATTTTAAGCGCCAGTGCTTATTTATGAAAATGTATTATTCTATTATTTATAGAAATGCATAATTTCGTACGCAACAACTTGCAGGGCCTTTACCAGCGATAAATTCTGCGGTGTCAAGACTTTCTCATTAGTGTGTTATATTGGTTTGTTGCTGAGATTTCAGTTAGCCGAAAGGGGTAGATAAAAACAAACGTTCCAGGTACGGTTATTATTCCATCCTTGTTGTTAATAAGTGTTTTTTTAATCAACGACATTTATTTAAAATTTCAACTTACATCTAACTTTGATTAGCTCTATTTACATGGTAATAGAAAGATTAAGAAAAATGGTTTACGTGGCTCGTTTAGCTGGGAACGTATCGCGAAAATGTAACGCCCACTCATATCCACGTGTGGATATCTTTTTACCAAAATTAAATCGACTGTTACGTTCGAATTCGCGCGCCAGAGGTTTCAAGTAATTCATTTGTTTGTTCAATACGGTTTAACTCACCGTCCAGTTAATCCAAAGACTCATCGCGAATTTTCAGCTAGATTACATTCTCGCGCACAAATAAACAGGCTTCGGTCGGGGTTACCTATCGTCCGCATGCTACCACATAACATATTCACGTGGCATATCTGTTACCTTTATTAATCGTGCCATCATAAAATGCCTCCTAGTTCGCGTATTGTCAGGTGGTCATTGCGTAGCAGGTTCCATAAATAGATTCTCACCTTCTACTTGCCCTGTTACGCCGACGTTCAACGCAGTCTAATCTGATGTCTCGGACCATGTCATTGCCACTCCATATTTGATTGGTGTCCTAAGCCTTTTTTAAGGTACTGCCTTGGTCTCATAACATTTGAGCTTAACGGCTCGATCGAAAGAACAACAGCAAAAACTTTAGGAGGTATGCGGTCACAAATTATAAGACTTTGGTTGAATAATTAACGCCCGGAAGACTACTGACGCAGCGAGCAATTAGAGCTGTCACTCAATGCGTCGTTCAGCAAGTCCTTTCTCAATTATTTAAGCCGAATTATTATTGGAGATAATTAATGTGAATGCAGCAGGCTTTACGGAGCCCCTCAGTACCACTTGTCATACTCGCCAATCAAACCTAGTTTCATATAAGTACATACAATTTACCTAGTTGTTTCTTTAATTGTTTATTATATCCTGCTTCGAAGGGTAATTACCTCAGCTCAATTACCTGAAGGTAAACAATTTATACACAAGTCGTATTGTCCAGGCCAAATGTCATCAAAGAAACGAGACAAATTCTAATGCCTGGTCCTTCACAGTGTTATGTTAATGCCGAGTAGGGCAATGAAGGAGATGTTATCTACGACTGCGATTAGCGGCCAATACTACGGAGTGCATACATACGAGAAGCAGACTAAAGTAGCATTCGAAACGAGTCCTTACAATGACAATTACAGACACCATTGAATTATTATGTATGCCGTACCTTCCGTTCCGTTTCTATAATAGGCCTGGCGCGCGATTTGACTTTTGGACACTTGGAAAACACGTTTTGAAGGCACACAATCGATCGA